AACAAACAAACAAAACCCCTGGGAGATGGATATAGCTGCACTCACATCTGATTGTAGCTATCAGGAGGGTAAAGCAGGAAGGTCACAAGTTTAAGGCAAGTCTGGGTTACATAGTGATTTCCAGGACCCTATGCGCTGAGATCCTGTATCACAAAAAATAAAACAAAATAAAACAGAACAAAAATGAAGAGTATTACAAAATGACTGCTGATGACACTGCCCATTCCAGGCAAACTGAGGCCAGGAAAAGGAAAACAAGCATGAAGGGGTCCTGGGGAGGAGAAGGCACAAACGGTATAGGTGGTCCAGCTGACAATAACTTCATCAGCACCCAATCTCCAATCAGACTCCAGAGCCCTGGGGAATGGGGACACACTTCTGAGCATTTATTAATGCCCTGTGACATAGACTTTACTATGACCCTCTGGTTCTTAAACCAAACCTGAAATCTGATGATAATGGGAACTGTTTTCGTATCTTGAGCAATCTGCTGGTAAAGGAAGCTGTACTCTCTGTAATTCATTATTCTTTTGAGAAGCTGTTTTCTTTCTTTTTTTTTTTAAAGTTTAAGTTTGTTTTTGTTTTTTTAAATTTTATTATGTATACATTCTGCTTCTGTGTATACCAGAAGAGGGCACCAGATCTCATAACAGATGGCTGTGAGTCACCATGTGGTTGCTGGGAATTGAACTCAGGACCTCTGGAAGAGCAGTCAGTGCTCTTAACCTCTGAGTCATCTCTCCAGCCTGAGAAGCTGCTTTCTTATTGGAAACTCTTTTAGTGAAGTTAAGTTGTGGAGCATCTCACAGCCTGGTCTTTCTCCTGCCATGTTTGCTTTTGCCCACCCCGTTGAGACGGTCCCCTCTAACTTAGGTTGAAGAGGACCTTGAACGCCATTCCTACTGCTTCCACTTCCACTTCCAAAGTGATGGGATTATATACATAGGTCACTATGTCAGATATAATGTTTTAGGATAGGGTCTCATGTATCCCAGGCTTGCCTAGAACTGGCTTTTATAGCATATAATGACTTTGAACTTTTGACCCTTCTGTTCCTACCTCCTGAGTTCTGGGTATTTCTTGTGTGTACAACCATACAGAGTTTATGCTGGGGATTGAACCCACGGTTTTATGCGTGCTTGTCACTCTAGTGACTGAGCTGCATGCCTGACTCCATCCCTTTTGTGAGAGGCTCTCTCTCTGTCTCTGTCTATGTCTCTGTCTCCCTGTCTCTCTGTCTCCTTTTTCTCGTCCTTTGGAATAGTGGAGGTTGGATTTGGTATAACATCGTCCTTGCTTTAAATGATACTAAGTGGAACGGCCTCCTATTTGAAAATCCCATCTCCAGTCTGAGGTACGTAGACTATAGGAGTGGGCTGGATATTAATATATTGAGACAAGGTATCACTGTGTAGCTCTGGCTGTCCTGGAACTCACTATGTAGAACAGGCTGGCCCCAAACTCACAGACATCTGCCTGTTCTTGCCCCCCGAGTGCTGGGATTAAAGGTGTATCTACTGTGCCTGGCTTGAATTTTTTTACACTTATTTGCATATGTTTTTCTGTATATACATTTACTACAGCAAATGTGTGGAGGCAAGAGGACACTTTGCAGGAATAGGTTCTCTCCACCAGTTGATCCCAGGTTGAACAGTAAACGAGCTTTTCTTGAGGATGTCCAAGAGTCATTCATCCTCCAAAACTTAATTAAATTAAATCAGAATTAAAAAAACTGACAAAAATCTGGGGCATGTGGGGCCCAGAGCTTCTGTCCTGTCTAGCTGCAATAGACAATTACTGAGCTCCTTAACATTGCTTTTATATTTCAGCCTATAGATTTTAGGAATATATTATATGTGTGTATATTTGTGTGTTAGATTTTAAGAAATTGTGTGTGCTGGGGGGCACATGCATGTGCTTGCTGGTGCCTGAGGAGGCCAGAGACAGCATGGGATCAACTGGAGCTAGAATTACAGTGAGCTGCCCGATGCTAGGAACTGAACTCTGATCCTCTGCAAAAGCAGCAAGTACTTGTAATCTCTGAGCCTTCACTCTGACCTTGGTATAGGAGTATCTAAGCAAACTGCGCCCAAATTCACTAAAAACTACCACCATATCTGCAGCTTCTTCCCATACTACACACTACACACAGTCTAGGGAAAAACATAATAAACTCTCCCTAGAGTGAAATCCTTGCTGTGTGCAGTATGAAGATTGGAGTTTGGAACCCTAGAACTCCCATAAAAAGCCAGGGAAGCATGGCAGCTCTCTGTAATTCCATCACTCAAGAAGAGGCTGGCTAGTTTGACTAGCAGGAATTGGCAAGTTCAAGGTTTAATGAGAAATCTTACCTCAATCAATAAAGTGGAGAGTTACCTAAGGAAGATCCAATGTGGACTTGGGTCTCTGTTATGATAACTCTTTCCCGCCAGCCTGGTCCCACAGCTGCGTCATCCTCAAATGAACACTCAGAGACTTATATTAATTATGAAACTGTTGGCCAATGACTAGGGCTTTTATTGGCTAGCTCTGTCTTAATTACTAACCCATTTCTATTAATCTAAATATTCCATGTGGTTTTATCTTACTGGAGAAGGGTCCAGGGACCTGTTACTCCTCTGGTGTCCTACATGGTGACTGCTTTCTGCCTACCCCTCCCAGAATCCTCCTCATCTCCCAGACCCGCCTATCTTGCTGCCCTATTGGCCATCAACCAATTCATCAACTTATTCATCAACCAATAAGATAAACATAAACAGAAGACCATTCCCCATCAGGTCTCCATTTCCATGTGTACACATGTACACACATGCACATTCATGCACACACAACACACACACACACACACACACACACACACACACACACACACACACGCACGCACGCACACACACACACACACACAGAGTACTACAATACAGATATGCTCCATTTCCATGTGCATGCATGCACACTCATGCACACACCACACACATACATACACATGCATATACACAGAGTACCACAATACAGACATGCTCCATTTCCATTTGCATGAAAAAAAAAAAAAAAACACACACACACACACACACACACACACACACACACACACACACACACGGAGTACTACAATACAGGTATGATAAATCTGAGCACCTACATACCTCAGACAGGAGTACTGATTGCTGTGCATTCCTAGTCCAGTCTGGGATTCATAGTGAATACCAGGGAAACCGGGGCTATAATAACAAGCCTGTCTCAAATGAAACAAAGGGGAAAAAACTAAAAAAATCACCTCAAAAAGTCTTAAACACTGGAAATTTCTGGAGAACACTCAAAGTTCAATTTGTGCTCTATCTTCAAGCTATATAGTTGTCATCTAATTCATCATGATCCTTTATTCTAGATGTGTACATGTGTGTGGGTATGTGCACAGGAGTGCAGAACCCCTTCGAGGCTAAAAGCGTCAGATTTCCTGGACAATTATGAGGAGTTATGAGCCACCTGACCTTAGTACTGGGAACCAAAGAATTCTGCAAGAGCAATGCAGCTTGATCCTCACTATGGAGCCATTTTCTCTAGTCTTAACTTTTTATGATTGTGTGTGTTCCAAGTGCATGCTGTCTCCTTCCATCCTGGAATTGAACCTGGGATTTCAAGCTTTGGAGGCAAGTGCTTTAATCCTCTGAGCCACCTGCCCCAGGCCCTGGATTGTTCTTTGTTCTAATATTAGAGAAATTTCCAAGTTGTAAATGCTCTAGCCATCCTCCAGCCTGACATATTTTGGCAATGTCTTCATTATGACACAACTATTCTAGAAGGATGAAAATCCAGTTAGAAGTTTGTATCACTATAGGCTAATTAGGGCAATCAGACACTTTGACTTTTTAAAATATTTATTTTTATGAGTGCTCTGTCTGCACGTATGCCTGCATTACAGAAGAGGGCATCAGACACCATTGCAGATGGTTGTGAGCCACCATATGGTTGCTGGGAATTGAAATCAGGACTTCCGGAAGAACACTTTGACTTTTGAGCTATGTCCATCATCAGAACTAAGTATGTATTTAACTGCTTATATAGTGTGTTCTGTGTAAATTGTTCATTTATCCCAATGCTAAAACATAAATTCATTCAATTAATTAAGTCTATGTATTTTAATTTAAAAAATTATGTGTATGGCCCGGGGGAAGGCCTAGACCGTGCCCCAAATGACTTGATAGACTTTGATCATCCCTCATTGAAGGCCTCACCTCCCTGGGGAGTGGATGGGTTCGGGGGTCAGTGAGGGGCATGGGAGGATGGGATTGATATGTAAAATTAGATTGTTTCTAATTTAAATGAAATTTATAAAAAATTACGTGTATGGATGTTTTGGCTGTATGTCTGTCTGCATACCACGAGTGTGCTATGTGCACAGGGAAGTCAGAACACTCTCATATTTCCTGGCAGTAGAGTCAAAGACAGCTGTAAAGCCACTGTGTGGGTGCTGGGAATTGAACCTGGGTCATCTGGGAGCAAAACCAGTGCTCTTAACTGTTGAGTGCTCTTTCCAAATCTGTTTTAAAAATGATTATGGGAATTGTAATGTTAAGTCCCAGTGAATTACTTTGCAAATTTCCCAGGTTAGAATGGTATGGAACGCAACTCCACCCAGTATTCCCTAAATAGTAGCAGCAGCAGCAGCAGCAACAGGGTTACACGGTTAAAGTTTATTTAATCTTACAAAGTTAACAGGAGGAGCAGGTTGGTTCCTTTTTCTTTTTTCCCCTAGCAATTTCCAATTCTTTTGGTGGGATTTCTATTTGATGTGTATTTCATTTTTTATTACTCCAAATGGCAATTTAAAAAAACTCAGTTTACAAATATTGGATAGGGAATGAAATATGATGAAGTTTACTTATTCCATTTCCAATTCCTCCCAAATTTGACTAATTTCACAAACATGGGGCAGATAGTCAACTAATATAAGCGTAGGTCGGAGAAAAATGTGAAAATCTTGTTGCAGATTTTAAACCTGACTACTCGGACACTTCATCCTCAGGTTCACCTGGCTCAGCTTCCGCTTCAACATTCACTGATACTCCAAGCTCCTTCCTAAGGGGAATAAAATAGCAAATGTTCAAGATTTTGTTACAGGTAAAGTGAAATACGTTAAACTGGTGGTGGCCCTCCCACCTCCGCTTCTTGAGTGCTTGGCAAAGAAGACTGATCCCACCCAGTGGGCCCTACAGCTTCAGACTATGGAGGGAAGGGAAGGAAGCTGGGAGAAGCCCAAGGCATCCCTGGAAGATGCCCCACCCGCTAAAG